CTCTTGCTGCGCAGCAGCAGCAGCTGCAGGCAGCAGCTGCGGCACCAGACGGTCTAAGAGCTTTGCTGCTACTGCTGCTGCTGCTGCTGACTCTCCTGCTGCTGATTCTGCTGCAGATCCTGCCGTTGCTGCTCTTCCTGCGCCGGCGTGCCGCTGCAGCACTGCAGCAGCAGCAGCAACAGCAGCAGCAAGCTGCGGCGGCTCTGCAATCTGGTCTGTGTGCTGCAGCAGCTCAGCAGCGAATTCCGCCAAAAGAGAGTCCAGCAAGCTGTCGCCCTGCAGCAGCTCGCGTCGCGGCTGCTGCTGCTGCAACTGCTGCTGCTGCTGCTGCTGCTGCAGCAAAACGACCAGCGGCTTCAGCTGCAGCTCAAGAGTGTCCAGAGGGGCCCTCAAGTGGGAGGTGGAGATACACCCCGTGCGTGGCAGTTTGCTGAGAGCCACGAAGGCTCCTAAAATGCTGCTGCTGCTGCTGCTGCTGCTGTTGCTGCTGCTGCTGCTGCTGGGGGGGAGAAGGGGCAAACGCTCTGCTGCTTTAAGCGCTGCTAGCCGCTGCAGCAGCAGCAGGAGCAGCAGCGCAGCTTCCTGCTGCACCTCTACCCGCTTGAAGACGCCCTTTGCTGCAGCGAAGCCCAGTGAGTCCAGCAGCAGCAGCACGTCCTCAGTGCTGCTGCTGCTGCTGCTGCTGTGAGCAGCAGCAAGGAAGAAGCGCTGCAGCGCATGCGTGTGGGACGGGTGGCAACGCACAGGGAGGTCGTCAAGTGCAGCAACAAAAGCTGACAGCAGCGGCTTGCTGCTGCTGCTGTTGCTGCTGCTGCTGCTGCTGTTGGGACTGTGCGCAGGGGCGGCGGGGAGACCGAGGAGATCCAGCAGCAGCAGCAGCTGCTGCTGCTGCTGCAGCGACGCAAAGCGCAGGCTGGGGCTGTTTGCTGCTACTGCTGCAACAGCATCCACCACATGGAAGTGCAGCAGCTGCAGCTGTTTTGCTGCTGCTGGCAGCAGCAGCAAATCAGACCCGTGGAGCTGCTCGGGCTGCTGCAGCAGCAGCAGCACAACCCGCAGCACCGTGCGGTGGCTATAATGCGGAAGCTGCTGCAGCTGCTGCAGCAGCAAACCCTGCTGCAGCAACTGAGGCGCAGCCCTGCGGAACTCTCGGGGCACTAACAATAGCTGCTGCTGCTGCTGCTGCTCTTGCTGTTGCTGCTGCTGCTGCTGTGCATCTCCGCTGATGCATCTGCTGTGTGTTTCAGCTGCAGCTGACGCAACAGCAGCAGCAGGAGAATATCCGGCCTTGCCAGGCTGCTGCTGCAGCAGCAGCAGCCGCTGCCGCTGC